AAAAAAAAAAAAAAAAAAAGAGTGCTTCATCAAAACCTGTTCATGAACACACACAGCTTCCTAAACACTATAGGATAAAATACTAAACTGAAGTTATAAGTAGCATATAACCTAAGCAGGGTTTTTCAGGGCATTAATCTGTAAGATCAGCTCTAAAAGCTGAAAAGTTGCTTCTGGAAGAGGTGGTTTGTCACAGGAATACAGTTTGGTCTGAGTGGTTTCATCTTTCTGTTTATTTGTTAACTCAACAAATGTGTATGGAGTATTTGTGTTGTCAAGCACTATCCTAGAAACTGGGGTTTGTCAATTGACAAAACAAATGATAATCTGTGTCCACAGGAAGCATTCTTCTGAAGGGAGGGAGACAATAAATCATGAATATGCAGTCTTAATGCCAGGAAATGCTATGGAAAAAGCTCAGTGCAGGCTAGGTGGCCTCCTGAAGAAAGTGGGGCCCAGCCTGCATGTGTCCGGCAAGCTCCACAAAGGCCAGGCTGGAAGTGGGGCTCACATAGAGTAGACAGGGCTGGTGGGCACTGGGGACAGGCAAGGTGTCCACTGGGTGCCTTTCCTGCTGAGCTGGGACAGATGAGTTAGCATTCTAATGGACAAGATTCTGATCAGCAGTTTGTAAACAAAGAGTCACTGGTTTCTCAGGTCATTTTGATAACTTTTTTTGTTTTTACAAATAAGCGGATTTTCTATGAGGCTCCCACATTTTGCCACAGTAATGTTCTATTTTATTAAAGCTAACTCAAGTGTGGCTAGAACACCAATTCATCAGTCTGTCAAATGTTCTGCTGCCGGCGTTTGTTCCTATTCATCCCTGACTGTGAACCACTCATAAAGGCAGCAAGAGGCGCAAGAACAGGGCTTGGAAGGAGCAGCTCCACCTGGCCCACTGGACACCTGCCTCCCAGGACACCCAGGATCTCGGGAGTAGAAAGAATTTGGCACTTTCTTTTGTAAGTAGCAAAAATAGATGGATTGGGCAGGAGCATAGTGTATTTTTGAGAGGCTGGTGAGTTTTGAAAGAAAGTTCCTCTCTCCGTTCATTAGCTGCATTATCATATTGTGGGAAAGGATGGGAGAGGCATGAGAAAAGAATACACATACGAGAAAAATTCTACAGCATAGAGGTGACTTGTGTCAGGCATTTGGGCAGTAGGCTTCTGTGCCTAGTTCACACTTGGTCTTGACCCTCAACCCCACCCCTTCACAGACCCTCCCCTCCTTACCAGGGAATATGGGGGTGCAAGCTGAACAGGGCTGGTGTAGGGGTTGAGCCTGAAAGAGAGGAGAGGTGTTCTTACTAGAGCTGCCCAGCTGAGGCCTGATTGAGAGAGGTTGCAAAAACTTTGCCAAGAAAGTTCACTGTATACAAGTTAGCTTTGACACTGTCCCAGATTCATAATGGGAGGCTGAAGCCAGAGGATCACTTGAGCCCTGGAGTTTAAATCTGTGCTATGCAATGATCATGCCTGTGGATAGCCACTGTACTCCAGACCCCACCTCTTAAAACAAGTACTTAGGGGATGGGTGTGGTGGCTAATGCCTGTAATCCTAACACTCTAGGAGGCTGAGGTGGGTGGATTGCTTGAGCTCATGAGTTCGAGACCAGCTTGAGCAAGCACAAGACCCCGTCTCTTAAAAAGTAGCTGAGCGTTGTGGTAGGCACTTGGAGGTCAAGAGGATCACTTGAGCCCAAGAGTTTGAGGTTGTTGTGAGCTGTAATGCCACAGCACTCTACTGAGGGCACAAAGTGAGACTCTTTCAAAAAAAGTTCTAATTCATTACACAATATCCAGAAAATAAAGAAAAGAGAAACCAGCCTTTATACCATTATCTAGAAACATTTAATTTGTGCTTTAGGATAAGTGTTAGCAAATATTTAGAACGATTAGTCAGTTTATTAATGTATATTTCTTAATGCAAGGTATAATTTTTATTAAAGCTAATGTTTCTTCAGAAACTTTATTTAGCTCCCTTATATTCTTGTTTCATTTACTTGATCTCAAGGTCTCAGCTGGCAGAGCTGCTCAGGCTGAAATCTTGGTGGCTTGTTTCTAGGAGCTGCTTACTTTTACCTGTTGATGGGCACTTGCAAGTGGGAAGCAAATGCCCTTGCAGAATAACTTGTAACCAGCTGCAGTACAGCTGCAGTAGGAGAGCCTGCCCAGACAAGGGCACGGGAGAACCCATCCAATTTCATGTCCCTCTGCCAACCCTGTCCCTGGGCACCATGGTATCTACCTGAACCTGAGATGCCTCAGATACAATGGGGAGCCAGACCTCTATCAGATCTCCTCCCAGGCTTGTGAAGGTGCCCTCCAGGTTCATGGCAGGACTACCCCAAGGTTCGGCAGTGAGGAGTTCTGGGTCAGGGTGTTCTAGGGTTGGTAAAATGAGGATGGATATCAGAAACCAAATGACTCAGGTACTGTGGGCACACTCTCAGGGGGTTTGCCATGTAAAGAGTGGTGCTTATGGTCTGGAAGCATGTCAGTTGCAGTTAAATGCTGCTGTTAAATGCGAAACACTGGTTCTGACTACAGACCCGACTACAGTCAAAACTTTGACAGGACCACCTGAATCATCCTGTCTTCTAGCAGAAGTTAAATAAAATTGGCTGGGATTGGTTGTTGCTTTGGCCAAAATAATCAGAATGATGGATAGAATTTGATGTCATGACACAACAGGGTATTATGTGAATTCTAAAAAATTTTGAAAATACAGTTTATTAGGTATACCTGTTAGGAAGTTTTTTTGGATAGCAATGTTAATAATGGTGTTTGGGTAAAGTAGAAAGGAGGGAATTATATTTGATTACGCTTTGTTCCCATCACAAATTAAAGTTGGGAAAGATTCTTGTGAGTTACTTAAAACACCATATCTCTCAGACACTTCTGCTTTCTCAGCACTGATACTTCCTCGAATGATACGATGTGATGGCACTCTATTCTCTTACATTTTTTTTTCCCCCAACAGAATTTCTCTTTCCTAAAATGGAGTCAAGTAAAAAGATGGACTCCTCTGGCACATTGCAGACTAACCCACCACTAAAACTGCACCCGGACCGCAGCTCTGGGACATCAGTTTTTGTCCCTGAACAAGGAGGTTACAAAGAAAAGTTTGTAAAGGCAGTGGAGGACAAGTACAAGTGTGAGAAGTGCCACCTGGTGCTGTGCAACCCGAAGCAGACTGAGTGTGGACACCGGTTCTGTGAGACCTGTATGGCTGCCTTGCTGAGGTAGGCACCCACTCAGACTTCAGTTGTCCTTGTTCTCTCACTCATTTGTTTATTTCTCTAAAATGATAGAAACCTCTAAAGATTTAAATCCCTAAATAAGGCCTCTTTGCCTACTTGCCCTGGCAGTGGAGGCCTGTTCTCTGTTTATGGTGAATGTATCCTGCTTTGTAAGCTTTCCTACCTGTAAACCTACCTTTCTCTTCCTCAATAAACTTTGTTTCACACTTGCCTTAAAAAAAAAAAAAAAGCCTTGTCTCAGCGCCTGTGGCTCAAGCGGCTAAGGCACCAGCTACATACCTCTGAGCTGGCAAGTTCGAATCCAGCCTAGGTCCGCCAAACAACAATGACGGCTGCAACCAAAAAATAGCTGGGCGTTGTGGCAGGCACCTGTAGTCCCAGCTACTTGGGAGGTGGAGACAGGAGCATAGCTTGAGTCCAGGAGTTGGAGGTTGCTGTGAACTGTGATGCCATGGCATTCTACCCAGGGCAACAGCTTAAAGCTATGTCTCAAAAAAAAAGCCTTAAGTAAGTACATAAAGTCTCAGATCCCAGCTTGTGAATTATTTAGGGAAATACAGTAGTTTTCCTCTGTGTCTCTGGCCCAAGTCCTGGCATGCCTACCCCATGTCCTCCCATCCTGTAAACTTTTATTCTTGTCTTCTCCTACTCATCTCCTGTGTCACCTTGATAGTATTGCCCACTCTGTCCATAAAGCCTCAGTATCCCTTGGATGTGTTGCTAGGATTTTCTCCAGAAGCTCACAGTTCTGTGGAGGAGACACACACACCAGCAAATGATGAAGAAATAATGAAAAAGCAGTACACTGATGTGCATAGGTGCTGCTGAGGATTGTGGGAGGACAGGGTCATCATGAAGGACCGGGCAAGTCCCTTCCTGAGCAGAAGTCCAATCTGTGCATGCTTACGTAGCAAGTATGCAAGGAAGGTGCACTAAGCCTGTGGAAGCCTTATCAGCTGAACATTGATGCCATTGTGTGATCACAAAGGCAGGCTGGAGTTTTACAGCAGAAATACTACTGCCAAGACAGCATTTTACTTATCCCACAGTTATTTTGTATATTCTGGGCATTGTGTTGGGCACTGGATTTATTGCAGGATCCTCTCAGTTATTGTTGCCAGGGCACCTTGGCCTAGGAAAGATTGCCAGCTCCTCCTCCTGGCTTGCTATTTAGCCTGGGCTGACCCAAACCCCAGGCCAAGTGCAGCAGCCACCCTCCTGCCTTGTCATACGCTGTCACCCTTGCCCTCCTCTCAGACTTCACTGTGTGGTCTTACCCACTTATCCCAAATAGTCAATTCACATTTGCTCACTTGCGGGTGGAGCAGGACTTGAGTTGAGCTTAGTAACAGTGCAGAAAACTCTGAGCACCTGATTTCCTTTAACACAAGAACCTGGACAGCATCTCTGGACCTGGGAGAGGCCTACTGCTGGAGCAGAAACTGGACCCTGGGTGTATACTGGACCTGTGGGGAGGGATGGCCTCCAAGGGAGAGAGGCTGGCCCCTCTGTGCAAGTGGAATTGACCTTTCTTTTTTTTTTTTGAGATAGTCTCATTATGTGCCCTGGGTAGAGTGCTGTGGCATCACAGCTCACAGCAACCTCAAACTCTTGAGCTTAAGTGGAGTTTTCTTGTCTCAGCCTTCCAAATAGCTGGGACTACAGGCGCCTGCCACAAAACCCAGCTATTTTTTGTTGTTGTTTTAGTTGTCATTGTTTGGCAGGCCCTGGCTGGGTTCAAACTTGCCAGCCCCAGTGTATGTGACTGATGTCCTAGCGCCTAAGCTATAGGTGCAACCCTGGAATTGACCTTTCAATGTATACATAGCTTGTGGAGAACGGACTGGCTGTTTTTAAAAAGCAGGAGCATTTAAAATCTCTCCTGATAAACTGTGGATGCTCACACTGAGGAGCTGCTCTGCAGATAGCTAGTTTTGGTTTCTGAAATAAAATCTCACTTTTACGTTAATTGAAAGGGGCTTTCCAAACAAGACTGAACTAAACTGTTCTACTCGATAACTTCCTTTTGAAAAATTACCATTAAAAAAATGCAACCCTTTTTTCCTGTGGTTCATATTTGGACCAAATTCATCATGGCACCCTGAAGCTCTACTGGTTGCTGTAAGCTACAGAGCAAATTGGACGGGACATGTAAGTGGTTCTATCTGCTGAGTTCTGGTAAGAAAAGGACTTTACTCTAATGTAGTCATTATGTGTTTCCCCTCAGCTCCTCAAGTCCAAAATGTACAGCGTGTCAAGAAAGCATCATTAAAGATAAGGTATTCTTGGGTTTTTAATAAGTCATTTTTCAAATGTTTTAAGCTAGCTTAATCCTTCACACACAGTTTGCACTCAGCACTCTGGTGCTCAGTTTTACCTTGGTTTTGATGGCTGATGTAGCAGGCTTTGAGGCAGTTCATTATGTCCTGTAAGCACTTGGGTAGACAGGAAGTTCAAGTCCATTCAGTTGCTTCTCTACAGCGTGAGCTCTGTGAGGTTCTTCACCCTCTGGAGGTGATGTGAAGTGCCAGGGAGTTGATGTAAGTGAAGTGCCCAAGGTGGCTGTTAATGGCCAGGCTGTTCTGGTTGGGTCATTTTTGTCACTGTGAGTCTTTATCCCATACAGCTTATGTTCACTCAGCTTTTATACTAGGTTTTAGCTTCAGATATGTGCTAATTTGAGGGTTTCATTTGAATTTGTTCTCCCTTGCTCTCCCACCACCTATAATATCTTGAGGTCATTAAATTTCAAGTGGGATTAGTCCCATCTGTTCCCCACATGGTGTGTGCACCAGTGAGAGCCCGTGGGTGTCACTGCACACTCAGCATGAGCTTCTGAAAACCAACCTACCAGCTTCTCTCCTGGGGCCCAGTTCCCTCTCAGCATCTCTGATGGGTGGTCATCCATGTGCTGCTAATCCCTGCCAGGCTTGTTTGAAACAACTCATTCTTGAAATATCAATGAAAAATGTATTGTTCTAATATTTTGATTAATGAACCTAATGATTTTTTTAATGTAGGTCATTAAATTGTCCATTAAAAATTACTCCTGTGGGGTTTTCCTGCCTAAAGCTCTTTGCAAGTTGGGTTTGCTGGTCATGACAGCCCAGCCCTTGTGCTGGCACAATGTATTCCTGGGCTATCAGGGACAAGGGCTTCTGATATAACCTGTTCTGGAGGGGTTCAATATAGAATTGGTTATGTGTCCATGTGCCTTTTCTTCTTTAGCATTTACCTGCTAGTATTATTATTAAGAAAAATTTAATCACTCAGGTCTACTCCATACAAATGCCCTGCTGACTTGTTAACATGTATCTAACAATTGTGACTGAGAGAGAAGATTGTGCTAAGTTGATTTTTTTTAGTATCTTTGTTTAATTGTTCAGAATTATTGTCCCTATTTTTGAATGACATTAGTAGTTGAAATACTAGTTTTGTTGAAGAATCATTAACGAAATGGGCTAAAACTATGGATCCTCATGGGAAGAGTAGAGCTGTTTGGGCCCTAGGTGACCTACATACACCCCTCACAAGATCTCCAAGGGATGTGGGGCAACCAGTCCTCATCTGTAAAGAGGGAACATTTGAAGTAAATAATGTGAGACCCTTTTCAACTCTTAAAATTGTGTGTGTTTATTATTCTGGTGTTTTCAGTCAAGGTATTTTTATCAGTAAGTTTAAACTCAAATGACTTAAGGAACTTAATGGACAAGAAGACAGCCTGTTTCTTACTGGTTAGAAATATTTGTTCTGTTGATGCTGGTATCTTACGTCATGATCTTTTAAAAAAGTCATTCTTATAAAGGATTAGCTTCGATAAATCCAAACTAGTTTATTTTTAATTCTTAATAGCTATTGATTCTATTTCTTTACAGAGTTAAGGAAGACATATTAAACTCTCTATTTTTCCACTATTAAAGAGTGTTAACACATGGGAGTTTCTTAGAAATGCCTGAGGAATAAGATATTACAGATTGTATTGTTAGAGTGATAATATTTGTTTTCTAAGGGAAAAATAAAATTAGAGGCAAGAATGTTTTCATTTTCAAGGGGAAATGTTTTCATTACTAGATTAGCCTTAGTCTTTGTGATATATATTTAAAAGAATTTTTTTCCAATAGTAGGCTAATATTATACTTCCTTTTTGGTGAAAAATGAGTTAGCATAGCCTTAGAAGGAACCAAAAGAAAGTTTTACATATTATCCTCCAAATAAGATCTCTTATAGTAGTTTGTCCGTTTCCCTACAAGTAATCTAAAAGGTGTGTAGAGTTGTATCAGATTCTGCTGTTTGTCCTCTGATAGGGAGGTGTGGCTACCTTTTCAGTGCTGGCTTTTAGAAATCAGTATGAGTCTGAATATGAACTTGGTCTTCCTCTGTCCTTGTCCTGAGATTATGTCAAAGTATGGAAAATGTTTATATTCTCCAGAGTGATCTTTATTCAATATAATTCATTTTCTAACAAAAGATAATAGTTAAGGTTATATTATTTAAATTGTATCTCCTAATGGGGGCAGTGTTTTCATTCTCTTTGTAGAAATTAAGATGGTCATTAATGCTTTCTGAGGTTCACTTATGAGTAGCTCTCTTGATTTTTTTTAAAGTGGTTTTACCTTGTCCAAAGTAGCAGCATGTGGAGATAAAGAAATATTAATCCTCTAAAATAATGATCTTTCAATTTCAGGTGTTTAAGGATAATTGTTGCAAGAGAGAGATTCTGGCTCTTCAGATCTATTGTCGGAATGAAAGCAAAGGTTGTACAGAACAATTAACACTGGGACATCTGTTGGTAAGTACCAAAGTAGCACCAGAGGCTTCTACATTAAGGAATAGAGCTCCTGGCTCGGCGCCTGTGGCTCAAGCGGCTAAGGCGCCAGCCACATACACCTAAGGTGGCGGGTTCGAATCCCCAGCCCGG